TCCCACCTCTTCCATCTGCTCACATGGAGTGTTTGGTCAAACTGGGCAAATGCCTATCTGTTTCTGCACTATGTGGCTGCAATGCCCTTCGAAAGCTTTTGATTTGTCCCGAGACCAACTTCACAGAAATGATTGCAGTCACCAATGTTTATGCATGTCCAATCACCTTTTTCCATTTTCTCCCTTGGAGTATTGGTCAAACATCCATCTGTGGTGGCACCACATGGGTGCAATGCCCTTAGAAGCCTACAATTTTCCCCGTGACCCACTTCATGGAAATAATGGCAATTGCCAATATCTTGTAGATATCTCTAACTCCTTCAAGTTGTACACAGCTCTGTCATTTGTTTCACGAACGCCATCCTCGATAAAAAACACAATATTAATGACTAGGGGAACAGTTGAAAGGATAGACATTGATTTCTCCATGAGATAAGAGGTTTCGATCACATCTGTTCGGGGCCAATCATCTCCTCACTCTGTTCGCATTGAATTTTTGGCCAAGCTGGTTGAGCGCCTATTTGAGGTGGCACCACGTGGCTGCAATGCCCTTGGAAGCCTACAATTTGCCCCATGACCCACTTCACGGAAATAATGGCATTTGCCAATATCTTGTAGATATCTCTAGCTCCTTCAAGTTGTACACAGCTCTGTCATTTGTTCCACGAACGCCATCCTCTATACAAACACAACATAAATAATGACAAGGGGAACAGTTGAAAGGATAGACATTGGTTTCTCCATGAGATAAGAGGTTTCGACCACAACTGTCGGGGCCAATCATCTCCTCACTCTTCTCACATGGTATTTTTGGCCAAGCTGGTTGAGCGCCTATTTGATGTGGCACCACGTGATTGCAATGCCCTTAGGAAGCCTACGATTTGCCCCGTAACCAATTTCACAGAAATAATGGCAATTGCCAATGTCTTGTAGATATCTCTAGCTCCTACAAGTTGTACACAGCTCTCATTTGTTCCACGAACGCCATCCTCGATACAAACACAACATTAATAATGACTAGGGGAACAGTTGAAAGGATAGACATTGGTTTCTCCATGAGATAAGAGGTTTCGACCACAACTGTGTGGGGCCAATCATCTCCTCACTCTGCTCACATGGAATTTTTGGCCAAGCTGGTTGAGCGCCTATTTGAGGTGGCACCATGTGATTGCAATGCCCTTAGGAAGCCTACGATTTGCCCCATGACCCACTTCACGGAAATGATGGCAATTGCCAATATCTTGTAGATATCTCTAGCTCCTTCAAGTTGTACAGAGCTCTGTCATTTGCTCCACAAACGCCTTCCTCAATACAAACACAACATAAATAATGATTAGGGGAACAGTTGAAAGGATAGACATTGGTTTCTCCATGAGATAAGAGATTTCCACCACAACTGTGTGGGGCCAATCATCTCCTCACTCTGTTCACATGGAATTTTTGGCCAAGCTGGTTGAGCGCCTATTTTAGGTGGCACCACGTGATTGCAATGCCCTTAGGAAGCCTACGATTTGCCCCGTAACCAATTTCATGGAAATAATGGCAATTGCCAATATCTTGTAGATATCTCTAACTCCTTCAAGTTGTACACAGCTCTGTCATTTGCTCCAAGAACGCCATCCTCGATAAAAACACAACATTAATAACGACTAGGGGGACATTGGTTTCTCCATGAGATAAGAGGTTTCGACCACATCTGTGCGGGGCCAATCATCTTCTCACTCTGCTCACATGGAAATTTTTTGGTTGAGAGCCTAGTTGAGGTGGCACCACGTGATTGCAATGCCCTTAGGAAGCCTACGATTTGCCCAGTAACCAATTTCACGGAAATAATGGCAATTGCCAATGTCTTGTAGATATCTCTAACTCCTACAAGTTGTAAACAGCTCTGTTGTTTGTTCCACGAACGCCATCCTCGATACAAACACAACACTAATAATGGCAAGGGGAACAGTTGAAAGGATAGACATTGGTTTCTCCATGAGATAAGAGGTTTCGACCACAACTGTGCAGGCCAATCATCTCCTCACTCTTCCCACATGAAATTTTTGGCCAAGCTGGTTGAGCGCCTATTTGAGGTGGCACCACGTGATTGCAATGCCCTTAGGAAGCCTACGATTTTCCCCATGACCCACTTCACGGAAATGATGGCAATCGTCAATATCTTGTAGATATCTCTAACTCCTACAAGTTGTACACGGCTCTGTCATTTGTTCCAAGAACTCCATCCTCGATAAAAACACAACATTAATAATGACTAGGGGAACATTTGAAAGGATAGGATAGACATTGGTTTCTCCATGAGATAAGAGGTTTCGACCGTAACTGTGCGGGCCAATCATCTCCTCACTCTGCTCACATGGAATTTTTGGTTGAGAGCCTAGTTGAGGTGGCACCACGTGATCGCAATGCCCTTAGGAAGCCTACGATTTGCCCCGTAACCAATTTCACGGAAATGATGGCAATCGCCAATGTCTTGTAATTACCTCTAACTCCTACAAATTGTACATGGCTCTGTCATTTGTTCCATGAACACCACCCCCCCCCCCCTTCAAAAAAAAAAAAGAAAAGAATAATAATGACTTAATAAGTCTAATTTTGTTTCCACCAAACGATTTGTCCTAATTGGCGGTGTTCTGCGCCAGGAGTCCGCCATAAATTGGCTGCAGCTTACGTTAAAATTAAATAAATAACGCCGAATGACTTATGACAGGGAGGGCATTCATTTCATCTCTGCTTCTCTCTCTTTTTTTTTTTTTTTTTACAGAAAGAGCTTTTGATTTTTCTTTTTTTTTAGGAGGATTTAATTAGAAGCAGAAAGCAGTATTACATCTCTCAGGTCATGGAGTACTGTGCGTCTGGAGCTGCGATTCCACCAGGGAACGCCGCCCGGACAGCTTGCCAGGAACTGCTCTGAAGCCGATCTCTCTCTCCCTTCTCTCCGGCCTTGGCCCTGGGCCTCTCTGAAAGTTCTCAATCCAGAAAGGAGGAATGGGGCCCGCCAAGCTGACGAGGGAGGAGGGCTGTGACGGGAAAAAGGGGAGACTGTGATTTCGGGTCTGCAGCCAGTAATGACAGAAAAACGGAGTGTGAGATGGATTGAGGCCTCCAGAGGGGCTGTGGGGCAGCACAGACCTTTGATTGATGGGGGCTGCCTTGGAATGTGAGCTGAGAGCTTGCAGGAAAAACAGCTCCTAATGGATTTCTCAAACGTACCAGCATGAAGGCTGGGCCAGGTGTCAAATCACAAAACCAGATCTATCTCAACTTGATTTTTCCATTCTAGTACAAGGGGCCTTCCTCTTCCCTCCCAGAGAGAGTTAACCGTTTCTTCGCCATATCTACCAAAAAAAAAGTCTCCATTTTTTACTGGTTTAAGTGCTCGTGTCCTACTCTCCGGGAGATTGAGGCTTTCCATCAACCCAGGAATGGCGAGGAGACATAAATACGCGGACGGCGAACGCACAAAAAATTACAGACCGTCTAAATAAGGCCGTCCAAAAAACATAATTCGCAGTTGAAAAAGAAAAACTTATCACAATATTTTTAGGTGGGTTTGTGTAATTAAATAAATTCTGATTAGTCAACATACCTGGGATTCTTCTCCTTTTTTGATTTTTTTTTCCAAGAAAAAAATTCGATTTAGCACCAAATTTGGGGGTCCTATCTTTTTTTTTTTATTATTATTATTATTATTATTATTCCAATTTAAAATATTCTGATTGGCCAACATGCTTTGAGCACCTTTTTGGATTATTCCAAGGAAAACATTCTGATTGTGTGGCCAACATGCTTTGAGTGCCTGTCCTTTTTTTTTGGATTGTGTAAAAATAAATAAATTCTGATTGGTCAACATACCTGGGACTCTTCTCCTTTTTTTGCTTTTTTTTCCCAAGAAAAAAATTCGATTTTAGCACCAAACTTGGGGCTCCTATCTTTTTTTATTTTTTTTATTATTCCAAGTAAAACATTTTAATTGTGTAATTAAATAAATTCTGATTGGTCAACACACCTGGGACTCTTCTCCTTTTTTTGATTTTTTTTTCCAAGAAAAAAAAATTCTGATTTAGCACCAAACTTGGGGCTCCTATTTTTTTTTTATTTAAATTATTCAAATTTAAAATTTTCTGATTGGCCAACATGCTTTGAGTGCCTATCTTTTTGGATTATTCTCCTTTTTTGATTTTTTTTTCCAAGAAAAAAAATTTGATTTAGCACCAAACTTGGGGCTCCTATCTTTTTTTTTATTAATATTATTATTATTATTATTCCAATTTAAAATATTCTGATTGGCCAACATGCTTTGAGTGCCTATCTTTTTGGATTATTCCAAGTAAAACATTTCAATTGTGTAATTAAATAAATTCTGATTGGTCAACACACCTGGGACTCTTCTCCTTTTTTGATTTTTTTTTTCCAAGAAAAAAAATTTGATTTAGCACCAAACTTGGGGCTCCTATCTTTTTTTTTTTTTTTTTTTTTTATTATTCCAATTTAAAATATTCTGATTGGCCAACATGCTTTGAGTGCCTATCTTTTTGGATTATTCCAAGTAAAACATTCTGATTGTGTAATTAAATCAATTCTGATTGGTCAACACACCTGGGACTCTTATCCTTTTTTTAAATTTTTTTTTCCAAGAAAAAAATTTGATTTAGCACCAAACTTGGGGCTCCTATCTTTTTTTTTTATTATTATTATTATTATTATTCCAAATTAAAAAATTCTGATTTGGCCTACATGCTTTGGGCTCTCATCTTTTTCCATCCAATTAGAAACATTCTGATTGACCGTTATATAGTTAGAGTCTTCTGATTGGTCACCAAGCTTTGGGCTCTTATCTTTTTTTTTTTTTTTATTATTCCACTTAAAAAATATTTGAATGGGTCACCATGCTTGGAGCTGATATTTTTTTTATTTTTTTTTTATTTATTTTTTTTAGTGTTCCATTTGCCTGCTTGTTTTGCATATTAAATACGTTCATTTTCTGCTCCCTACAGATCTGCAAGACTTCAAATCAGACACACAGCATGTGATTGAGGTGGACGAAGGGAACACGGCGGTGATAGCCTGCAACCTGCCCGAGAGTCACCCCAAAGCTCAAGTGCGGTACAGCGTCAAGCAAGAATGGCTGGAGAGTTCCAGAGGTGAGTCATATCTCTGTTATGTAAGGCAAGACTCTAGGCAGATATTAAAGATACCATTGATACAATGCTTTAATTTGACCTGGTATCGGCCTCTTGCAATCTCTGTACAGCAGAGCTCAGACTGGGAGAGGGAGAAGCAGCCTAAGGAGCTAATTAGGTGTGCTCTAATGCTCGTGTGCTAACAAGGAGCACGCTGATAGGAGGAGAGAGTAGAGTGACACTCACATGAGCTCTTCTGTGTGATGCTTCTCGTTTTACTGTCTGGGGACAGGGCCATGACCTGTAAGTGTTCCCAGCGTATGTGATTGTCAAATGACTATTATAAGGTTGGTTTTATCAGGAGATAAATAATGAAGGTTAACATCCATCCTAGAAAACTCCAGTCATGGCTGGTTTGGGTGTGAGGGCGGTACATGAGAGCCGTTGAGTAATCAACTCATCCATAGAACCTTGGCTTTGCCAAATGTCGTCTCTTCCTCTGAAAAAAAACATGGCGGCCGGCCCATAGGCACTGAAGCCCTGGCTAACCCAGCGCACAGGCAAGGCTTCTCATCCATCCATCACGTCCCGAGTGGAGGTGTCAATTCAGCCGTGGTCTTGGCTTTCTGCCCGCTGGTCCCGAGGAGATGAACACACACCCCGCCTCCGCCAGGGACATGCCCGGAACTGCCTGGGCTGCGGGGCTGACAATCCTGCCTGATGTGGGAAGTCAAAATATATCAGAATAATGAAGAGCGGGGAGTCTAGCGGGTGACTGAACACCGCCACGCCTGAGGGCCACACATCATCGCTGCCTGCCACCTTGTACTGCTCCACTGACATAACCCCGATATAACCCCCCCCCCTTGCAAACTCAATGCTTAACCCCTTTGCTGCTGGACTGGAGGGGCAATGAGCAAGAACCCAGCAGCGTATAACAACCAGGGGCGGACTGACAACTCATGGGGCCCCCGTGTCCTTAGGGATCATGGGGCCCCCGTGTCCTTAGGGATCATGGGGCCCCCGTGTCCTTAGGGATCATGGGGCCCCTGTGTCCTTAGAGATCATGGGGCCCCTGTGTCCTTGCCCACACTCAAAACGCACCCAAAAAAGCCTATAAAAAGGTACCAGGGGCATTTCATGGGGCCCCCTACTGACCTCAGGACCTCGGGCAGTGCCGGAGTGCTCGAATTGTCAGCCCGCCCCTGATAACAACTGTCAAACTCCCCCCCCCCCCCCCAAAAAAAATTTTTTTTTATTAATTATATATATATATCTTAGATTGTAAGCTCCCAGGATCAGGGCCCTCCTATCCCTCTTGTATTGATCTGTATTGTTGCTGTATTGTCTCCCGGTATATTGTAAAGCGCTGAGCAAACTGTTGGCGCCATAAATCCTGTATAATAATAATAATATAAATCCTGTATAATAATAATAATAATTTTATATATATATATATATATATATATAAAATTTATATTATTATTTTAGATGGTGAATTCCAAATACATTGGTGACATTGTGTCCAATTTGCTACACGGGCTTTAGTGCCACATTCCGGTTTCAATATTTCATACTGTAAATAATATGTAATTATTAAATATAATGGATGAAATTATTATATTATGGAAAAAAAAATATATATATATATGTGTGTGTGTATATATATATATATATATATATATATATATATATATATTTTATATGTGTATATATGTGTATATATATATATATATATATATATATATATATATATATATATATATTTTATATATATATATATATATGTGTGTATATATATCAACAGAGAGGCCCTCGACATATAAAGGGCTCTGTTGGTTGGGATGCCAGCACCTGATACCATATTATGCATCAAAGGAATGCAACGCAGCTATTGTGATACCAAAAAGCAGAGAAAATGAATAAGTATTACGAACACAATGTGTCGCAGCTTACCGTTCATTGAATGGGGTGGCTGCTTTAGTTTTATATTTTAAGTTTGGTTTTTTTTTATCTTATGGTTCCACACTTCATGTACCAGGGTGACAACCTTCTCACCATACTGTATCTATGTGGGAGAAGGGTTGTCACTCTAAGAAGGAAGGGTGTTAGGACTACATTAGTGATCAGCGGGAAGAATGTCCCTTGCATTGGTGGTGAATGGGAAGAATGCTCCTTACATTGGTGGTCAGTGGGAAGAATGCTCCTTACATTGGGGGTCAGTGGGAAGAATGCTCCTTACATTGGTGGTCAGTGGGAAGAATGCTCCTTACATTGGTGGTCAGTGGGAAGAATTCTCCTTACATTGGTGGTCAGTGGGAAGAATGTCCCTTACATTGGGGGTCAGTGGGAAGAATGTCCCTTACATTGGGGGGTCAGTGGGAAGAATGTCCCCTACATTGGTGGTCAGTGGGAAGAATGCGCCTTACATTGGTGGTCAATGGGAAGGACGCCCCTTACATTGGTATCCAGTGGCAGGAATGTCCCTTACATTGGTGGTCAGTGGGAAGAATGTCCCTTATATTGGTGGTCAGTGGGAGGAATGTCCCTTACCTTGGTGGTCAGTGGGAGGAATGCCCCTTACATTGGAGGTCAGTGGGAAGAATGTCCCTTACCTTGGTGGTCAGTGGGAAGAATGTCCCTTACATTGGTGGTCAGTGGGAGGAATGCCCCTTATATTTGGTGGCCAGCGAGAAGATTGACCCTTACATTGGGGGTCAGTGGGAAGAATGCTCCTTACATTGGTGATCAGTGGGAAGAATGTCCCCTACATTGGTGATCAGTGGGAAGAATGTCCCTTATATTGGTGATCAGTGGGAGGAATGTCCCTTACCTTGGTGGTCAGTGTGGGAGGAATGCCCCTTATATTGGAGGTCAGTGGGAGGAATGCCCCTTATATTTGGTGGCCAGCGAGAAGATTGACCCTTACATTGGTGGTCAGTGGGAAGAATGTCCCTTACATTGGTGTCAGTGGCAAGAAAGTCCCTTACATTGGTGGTCAGTGGGAAGAATGACCCTTTCACTGGTGGTTAATGGGAAGAATGTCCCTTACATTGGTGATCAGTGGGAAGAATGCCCCTTATATTGGGGGTCAGTGGGAAGAATGTCCCTTACATTGGTGTCAGTGGCAAGAAAGTCCCTTACATTGGTGGTCAGTGGGAAGAATGACCCTTTCACTGGTGGTTAATGGGAAGAATGTCCCTTACATTGGTGATCAGTGGGAAGAATGCTCCTTACATTGGTGGTCAGTGGGAAGAATGTCCCTTACATTGGTGATCAGTGGGAAGAATGCTCCTTTCACTGGTGGTTAATGGGAAGAATGTCCCTTACATTGGTGATCAGTGGGAAGAAAGTCCACTACATACTGTACGTAGGTGGTCACAATGCAACCCTTGGTGTCCTGTAGCTGGCTTTGCCAAATGGTGTTGGCCATGGAACTATGCAAACACCATCAGATGAGAGGCCAATTAGCCAATGCTGAAGGAACCCCTAGCAACCTGTGGAGGAACCCTAGTGTTCCTTGTGTGTGTATATGTTTGTGTGTATATATAGATATATATATACACATACACATATTTGAAACAATAAACTATGTATAGAAAGAACATTTTTTTGAAGGCATTTACACCCATTGATAACATATTTTATTTTTTTTACATTTTACATGCTTGCCTCAAATATAAATGAGCAGAATATTACACATTCCTTCTAAATTACGGACAAAGGCTGTTGGTTAAAGACAATATTTGCTCAGAATGATGAAGATCGGGTCATAGTCTGTTTCCTGTAACTTTATACCCCAGTTATTAGGTGGAGCAGACGGACAGGGCTGTCTATAGGGGGGCATGGAATGTGATCCCCAGTCGCCCGTGCCGTTTATGGGGTTTGCGGGGGGTGAGAGGTTAAAGTGTCGATGTCTCAGCAGGGATTACCGAGGGATCGCTTGGTACTTGGACTAATCAGAGCTGTCTCTGGCTGTCAGCTCTCATTATCTTCTTGCGTAGCAACCGATGTCAAATAAAACGTAGGAAATAATCCTCGGGGCCAGTGCAGGCGATGAGATCTTTACCTGCTGTCAGTCTGAGCTGGCGCCTTCGGGTGGGGGAAAGAAAGGTTTGGCAAGGCAGGAGGAGAGAAACGGGACTGATAGCCAACATGGCCTGGAGGGGAATGTGTCATGGAGACGAATATCTGGGAACTAAAAAAAGGTGTGCTGTATCACATATACATAACAAAAAGACACGTATGAAGTTCAGGGTCATAATCTTAGTCATGAATGTCGAATCCCTTTTTCATTTGTCTGGAATGGTCGTGCCATGATAAGCCGCAGAGGGAGTGCATTGTTTTCTGTAGGCCAGATGACCACTGTGTAGCACTGCAGAGAAGCTGCAGTCTCTGCTTCTTTCTCTGCAGTGCTACACAGTGGTCATCTGGCCTACAGAAAACAAGGCATAAGGAATGCTTTCGCTCCAGCGCAACAGCTATAATCAAATGCTCTTTGTTAAAGTCCGTGTGTATCACAGGTCACACGACCACTGTGTAGCACTACAGTGAACCTGAAGTCTCTGCTTCTTTCTCTGCAGTGCTACACAGTGGTCATCTGGCCTACAGAAAAACAACGCATAAGGAATGCTTTTGCTCCAGCGCAACAGCTATAATCAAATGCTCTTTGTTAATGTCCGTGTGATACAGTCATTCAAAAAGGCAATGCGTTTCAGCCGTCAGGCCCTGATTAAGGCCCGACAGATGAAACGCGGTGGTTTTTTACATGGCAGTATCACATGAACTTTAATAAAGAGCATTTGATTATAGCCGTTGTACTGGAGCACCAGCTTTCCTTATGCGTTGTTTTCTGCAGGCTAGACGACCACTGTGTAGCACTGCAGAGAAAGAAGCAGAGAATGGTCGTGCCATTGTCTGGAATGGTCGTGCCATGATAAGCCGCACAGGAAGCGCATTGTTTTCTGCAGGCCAGATGACCACTGTGTAGCACTGCAGAGAAGCTGCAGTCTCTTCTTCTTTCTCTGCAGTGCTACACAGTGGTCGTCTGACCTACAGAAAACAATGCATAAGTAATGCTTTCGCTCCAGCGCAACAGCTATAATCAAATACTCTTTGTGATACAGTCATTCAAAAAGGCAATGCGTTTCAGCCATCAGGCCCCGATTAAGGCCCGACAGACGAAACGCGTTGGATTTTTACATGGCAGTATCACATGAACTTTAATAAAGAGCATTTGATTATAGCCATTGTACTGGAGCACCAGCTTTCCTTATGCATTTGTTTTCTGCAGGCTAGACGACCACTGTGTAGCACTGCAGAGAAAGAAGCAGAGACTTCAGGTTCTCTGCAGTGCTACACAGTGGTCGTGTGACCTGTAGAAAAAACAACGCACTCCCTGTGCGGCTTATCATGGTACGACCATTCCAGCCAATTGAAAAAGGGACTCTACATTCATGACTAAGGAATTATGCATTGCTTGAAGATTGGAGGTTCACAGAGACCTTCCTGCAAGCTGTGGATGATTAAGGGGGTAGTAACTCTGTTCCACCTGCAGAAAACAATGCACCCCCTGTGTGGCTGATATCTCAGGAGATGTTAAAGTAGATGTAAAGGAAAACTTTTTTTTTTTTTTTTTATTGAGTAGGTAAGTGTTAGGCCCTCTGTAAAGTTTTTACTGCAGTCTGTGTCACCGTTAGGGAGGTTTACTCTACTTGTCCTGGTGTCCTAGATTTTTGAGTTGTCATGAGAGAAAGAGGCAAGGGGAAAATCTTCCAAAAGGGACATTATGACAACTGTCCAGGTTGGAAATTCTCCTAACCTTGGGTCTCCAAGATGGGAAATTTAGGAGCAATTTTCCCATCAGGACACAGACCTGATAGGTTCCCTGTTCAAAACCTGAAGAAAAGAAATGTGGGCTTTACATGCATTTTAAAAGAGAAACAGTCATTGCACTGAGCTACCAAGAGCTCCCTCTAGTGGTCAAATCTCTTTATTTCACACTATACCAAAAAGGTGCAAGAGCATGCTTGTCAGAGTAGAGTAGAGCACAAGGTTACCACCAATCCAAAGCCCAATGGTCCACCTTGTTTTACCGTGACTGTTGAAATAGTGTTTTAAACCTCTCAGAAAACCGGGTTGAGTTTGCATGGGCACACGTCCGAAGTGGCATCTAAAGCTGGCCAAACATGTTACAATCTAATTGTACAATCTGCTTTAAATTTACCAATGACTATGTAGAGCAAGAACTTTCCAGATGTAAATTGAATGGACTGGTTAGGCCGACCTTTGTACTTCATTGTTTTTGTCTATAGCAGCCTTTCTCAACCTTTTCAACTAAGAGGAACCCTAGAAGGACTTTCTGGGCTCTGCTAAAACTGACTATATCTGCAAGTCATGATACATTCGTGTGATGATCGGTGGGAAGAATGCTCCTTACACTTGTGGTCATTGGGAAGAATTACACCCTTTTAGCTGCAAAGACCAATGGTGTCAGTGGGAACTGATCTGAGAGGCAGAAATGGCTCAAGGAAGCCCTAGCAACCTCTGGAGGAACCCTATGGTTGCATGGAACCCTGGTTGAGAACCCCTTGTATATAGGTGGAAGTAAGCTTGTACGGAGATTGTGCAAGTAAATTGCAATGTGTAACCCAAAGTATCTCATAAAATTTTTGTTCTTCTCTGTGTCTGCACAGATAATTACCTTATCATGCCCTCGGGGAATCTACAGATCGTCAACGCCACCCAGGAGGATGAAGGAACGTACCAGTGTGCAGCGTACAACCCGGTAACACAGGAAGTGAAGACGTCCGTCTCTAGTGACCGTCTGCGAGTACGACGTAAGTCAGAAGATCTGTTGGGCCAGCCATAGACTTGAAATGGGGTCAGAAGATCTGGCTATTTTGGCAAAAATAGACTTAGTTCTTCTTACAGATAATATAGGGTGCAGCGCTAAGAATACTAATTCCAAATAGTGACTATTAAATGAATAAATAATGATATCAATAAAGTGACAGTTCATGGCAAAGTGCTGAGTATAGGCTGATAATAACTTCAAACTTCAGTGATGTGCCAAAGGTGTAGTAAAAATACGCACTCACCAGATGCGTATTTTAAATACGCATTTAGGCAATATAGCCAGAGGTCCCCTTAAAGGATGGAATGGAAACAGATCCAAGTGGACAGCCGGTGAACTACAACTTATTCAGGGAAGTCTACCCCACCTCCACCTAAGAACTGAACTGTACTTGAATCACCTCCACCCTGTGGTGGAGGGGATTCCATTCCATCCTTTAAGGGGACCTCTGGCTATATTGCCTACATGCGTATTTAAAATACGCATCTGGTTAATGCGTATTTTTGCTTCACCTTTGGCACATCACTGAAATTTGAAGTTATTATCAGCCTATACTCAGCACTTTGCCACGAACTGTCACTTTATTGATATCATTATTTATTCATTTATGAGTCGCTATTTGGAATTAGTATTTTTAGCGCTGCACCTTATATTATCTCTGTGGATGTTTTATTTGGTTACCTTTGTGTGTATCAGCGGCTAATTTTTAAGCGCTCACTGATCCTATTCTATTTTAGTTCTTCTTACAATATATAATAATCTGTACGCCACTGCCATTGTTGACCGCTAAAAACATTTTGATCCTTAAGGGTAGCAAGGTCAGCCCAAAGACTCCTCTTGTGACAAGTTCTTTTTACTTCTTGGGCAAAAATATGGATTGTGTTTCTAAGTTTTTCTACATAAATAGTTGACCAAACAGAATAAGAAGATTCACTTCTTAATCCAGCTCTTCATATTTAATAATAAAAGCCTACAATGTATGTAATGCCAGAATTTCCCCACCTTAGAGAGTCGTCACAGGAACAGTAGCCCCTATTGGAGGAATGTTTCTCATCTCTTGATATGGTGACAACTCAATATTTTTGGATTTCCTATTTATTTTGTGTCTCGGCCACAATGGTCACTAGGACAAATGGGCGAATATCCCCAACAGAGATTCAGACAGCAGAAAAAATTTGGCAAAGGGTCCAACCCTTCCCTATTCCCTAATTTTGCTTTCCAGTACATTTTAATAAATATAGTGAACTGTTCACTTGTACAAGAAAAAATGGTACCTGTCTACCATTATTAGCAAACCATTTTGAACAAGTCTATGTTTCTTGTATCTGTCCACTTTTGGCGGTCAACTGAACTCTTTGAGTTCCTCATACATGGTTTTGCATTTCAGGCTCCACAGCGGAGGTGGCTCGGATCATCTACCCTCCCATGGCGCAGACCATCATCGTCACCAAGGGCCAGAGCCTGTTTTTGGAGTGTGTGGCTAGTGGCATGCCGCCGCCAAGGATCACTTGGGCCAAGGACGGGTCCGATGTCATTGAACAGAACAAAACACGCTTTCTTCTCAGCAATCTTCTGATAGAGGCCACAAATGAGGAGGACTCTGGGACATACACCTGCACAGCCAATAATGGAATTGGAGATGGAGGTTCAGCATTTATCTTCTATAATGTACAGTTTTTGGTAAGTTATGCCAGATTTGGACAGCATTGAAGTTCTCAGACCTTGTTGATCCATCTAGCCAAGTTAATGTAGCATGATACAGAAAGAATAACTCTGAAAAAGTCAGGGCACAAAATGTATGAGGATTTCACGTGATCATACCAACTAAAACCAGAATTTTTGGCCAGGTCCATCTGTCAGTCTGTGCCTTCATGCATTTTGCTGAATTATTGGTACTGGTTGGTCATTCATGTTTAGAAGTTATCTGTCTTTGGATAGACTGTTGGGTATTGTTGTCCAAATTCAGAACAATCCTTCCAGGGGTTGAATTTCCATCTTATTAATGGACTTTGGCACTGTAGTGGATTCCTTGACCTGATGGTCTAAGTACAGACATGCAGCTCTTCAATTTTGAGGTTGGGAAGCTTTTGTGGAGTTTGGGCAAAAATGTATTTTGGTTGGAAAATGTCCCATCTCTGGGTCCGGTCCACCACAGTTGTGACTTATTTGACATTTCAGCTAATTTAAGATTGTGAAAGAGAAGAATTAAGACTCCTACAATGTTATCACCAAATTTTCTTTGCCTTGTCTTCCATATCCATTAAAACATCAAATCCTGACTCGTCATTTCATTTAATCTCTCAGAGCCGCCTGAGGTCAGCATGGAGGTGTCCCAGCAGATGGTCTCCTGGGGTCAGACTGCAAAGTTTACCTGTGAGGTGAAGGCAATCCACCTCCATCTGTGGTTTGGTTGAGGAACGCGGTGCCTGTTCTTCCTACTCTGAGACACAGGATCTCCAGAAAGGTTCTTCGAGTGAGCAGTGTGGGGCCTGAGGATGATGGAATTTACCAATGTATGGCAGAGAATGAAGTAGGAAGTGCACAAGCATTGACTTTGTTGATGACCACCAGAGTAGGTGAGTAATAGGTCATCATGAATGTCCTTAAATGAACCTTTCATAACCTTTTCTTTTTTTTTTTCATACCCTACCTCATCTTTTACTGACCACCCATTTTGTCTCCAGGAACATTTATAAGCCCTGGATCAGTTGCAGGCACCTGGACTCCAACAGAGGCACCTATTCCTGACGACAAACAGTTGCTCCTAACGGCTCAGTTGAAGCAAAGACCTCCAACTCCAGGATCGCCAACTCCTTGCCCATCTGATAAGACCATCCTCCAGCCTGAGGCTCCCATAATCCTCAGCTCACCCCGCACATCTAAGACTGATTTCTATGAATTAGTATGGAAACCTAGACACAATAGCAAAGCCACAATCCTATACTACACTGTGAAACACCGCAAGGTACTTCAGGAGAACCTCTTCAATTACTGACCTGTGTTGAGATATTGGATGAATATAAACATTCTTATTAGTGTATTTTTTACTGTCTGAAAGTGCGGTTAGCATCCTTGTTGAAAGACTGCTGTAAGAATACTGCACACATTATAATGTGAACCTTTGTTTTTTCATGCAGGGAAAAGCAACAGGTTCAGTTAATTACTTACTCCCCAGTAGCCAACACTTACCTTACTTTCATCTAGGAATGAGGAGGGGAGGCCTGTTGAAAGTCGAGACTTGCAGCTTACAAAGGGCTGGACTCTCTCCCCATCCTTAGTTCACAATATTGGCTGCCAATCACCTGGGAAGAAGGTGGGCAAGTCCCATGCTCCCCTTTACCTGAAATGACTGGGCCTTTTCTTTCACTGCCAGAGGTTGAACAGAGCAGTGGGGTAGGGAAAGGAAGACTAGTAGGCATTGCTACTCACTTTCCTGGGAAAGCATGGAGATGTCCCAGCAGATGGTCTCCTGGGGTCAGACTGCAAAGTTTACCTGTGAGGTGAAGGGCAATCCACCTCCATCTGTGGTGTGGTTGAGGAACCACTCCACGTATATCTGACTTTCCTGTCCTTTCTACAGCAGGTGGGGAATGTGTCCGAGGAGTGGACTTTTTCTCGAGTTCCTGGATCTCAGAACCGCCTAACGCTCACCAAGCTGGACCCAGGAAGCTTATATGAAGTGGAGATGGCGGCTTACAACTGTGCTGGGGAAGGACAGACGGCAATGATGACTTTTCGGACAGGTAAGGAGTACTTGCTAGGTTGACCTGAGTGACAGCTGTAATCTTCTGGCCCATGGAGTTATATTAGGTGTACATTCTTGTTTCTGTATATTGTAGGGCGACGTCCGAAACCTGACATCATAGCTAGCAAAGAGGTGCAGATTCAGAAGGACGACCCAGGGACCAGCACTCAAAGCATCAACCAGTCCGACAATAACCGGCTGTCCCGTAAGTTTTGTCCAGTTTTCAGATCTTCTGGTCTGTAGCTTTTGTATTTCAGGAATTTATGTATCGCTGACTACTTATACAGAACGTTACATATTGTACAGTTCATTCACATGAGCCCATGCTCTTACAATCTAAGGTCCCTACCTCAAACACACATACTTGAGCCAATAGCCTACCAGCATGTCTTTGGAATGTGGGAGGAAACTCAAGCATACACAGGGGAAACATGCAAACCCCCCATTATAGAGTTCTGGAGAAGGCAAAATATAACAATTCAATCCATAATATAAAAAATTATGTCTTTTGTCTTTACAGCTCCGGAGGCTCCGGACCGACCTACCATCTCTGCAGCCTCTGAAACCTCTGTGTACGTGACCTGGATTCCCAGAGGCAACGGTGGATTCCCTATCCAGTCTTTCCGGGTAGAATACAAGAAACTGAAGCAGCAGGGTGACTGGATCTTGGCGACCAGAGACATCCCGCCATCACGTCTGTCTGTAGAGATCACCGAGCTGGAGAAAGGTGAGCAAAGGCACATTTTGTTTTGTAGTTCTAGACTAAAATTCAAGTGAAAAGTATTGGCTAAATTGAGTTTAGCTTCTGCCGTGCAATCTTCTTATACAGCAATATTTATGGTGGTTCTAATATTCTCAGTAGCAGCCTCCTAGTGATAGATTGGTTCATTGACCCTGTACAGCAGCAGAGTTTTTAGGCCTCTGTCAAAGGCCAGCTTTATGTTTTTTAAGGTCCAAGTTCAGACCCTCAAGAGAACAAATCCTTCTTCTTTAGGCCCAAGTTCAGGCCCTTAAAAGAAAGAACCATTCTGTTTTAGGCCCAGGTTTAGTCCCTCAGAAGAAACAAACCCGTCTTTTTTAAGTCCAGGTTCAGGCTCTCAAGAGAACAAACCGTTCTTCTTTAGACCCATGTTCTGGTCCTCAGGAGAACACTCCGTTCTTTCTTAGGCCCAGGTTCAGGCCCTCAGGAGAACAGACCCTTCTTTATTAGATCCAAGTTCAGGCCTTCATGAGAGTAAACCCTTGACCTTTACACCCAAGTTCAGGCCCTCAGGAGAAAAAAATCTTTGTTTTGTTAAAGGCAAGGTTCTGGCCGCCCCAAGAGAGCAAACCCTTCTTCTTTAGATCCAGGTTCAAGTCCTCAGGGGAACAACCCCAGGTTTAGACCCCCAAGACAATAATTGCTTTTTTTTTTAGGTCTAGGTTCCGGCCCTCAAGAGAACAAACCCTTCTTCTTTAGACCCACGTTCTAGTCCTCAGGAGAACAATCCCTTCTTTTGTGGCCCAGGTTCAGATTCTCAGGAGTAAAACCCCTTCTTTTTTAAGTCCAGGTTCAGGCCCTCAAGAGAACAAACCTTTCTTTAAACTCAGGTTCATGTCCTCAGGAGAAGAATCCCTTCTTTCTTATGTCCAGGTTTAGTCCCCTCAGGAGAAAAAGCCCTTCTTCTTTAGACCCAGGGTCAGGTCCTCAGGAGAAAAACCCCTTCTTTTAGGTCCAGGTTCAGACCCCCTCAAGAAAGCAAACCCTTCTTCTTTAGACCCATGTTCAGGTCCTCAGGGGAACATCCCCAGTTTCAGGCACCCAAGAGAACAAACCCTTCTTTTGTAGACCCATGTTCAGGTCCTCAGGAGAGAAACCCTTTCTTTTTTAGGTCCAGGTTCCAACCCCCTCAAGAAAGCAAACCCTTCTTCTTTAGACCCACGTTCAGGTCCTCAGGGGAACAACCCTATTTTCAGGCCCTCAAGGGAACAAACCCTTCTTCTTTAGACCCATGTCCAGGTCCTCAGAAGAACAATCCCTTCTTTCTGAGGTCCAGGTTCAGATTCTTAGGAGTAAACCCCCTTCTTTAGACCCAGGTTCAGGCCTTCAGAAGCAAAAAATCCTTCTTTTTTTTTTAAGTACAATGTCAGGCCCTCAAGAGAATAAACCTTTTTTATTTAGACCCAGGTTAATGCACACAGGAGAAAAAAAACCTTCTTTCTTAGCTCCAGGTTCAGGCCCCCAAGAGAACAGACCCTTCTTATTTATACCCAGGTTCGGCCTTTCAGGGGAATAACTCCATGTTCAGGCCCTCAGGAGAACCATCCCTTTTTTCTGAGGTCCAGGTTCAGATTCTCAGGAGTAAAACCCCTTCTTTAGACCCAAGTTCAGGCCTTTGGAAGCAAAAAATCCTTCTTTTTAAGTACAATGTCAGGCCCTCAAGAGAATAAATCCTTTTATTTAGACCCAGGTTCACGCACTCAGGAGAAGTTTGGGTTCTCAGGGGAACAACTCCATGTTCAGGGCCTCAAGAGAACAATTCCTTCTTTTTAAGGTCCAGGTTCAGACCCTCAGAAGAACAGTTCTTTGTTCTCACTGGCCTCCTATCTCCTGGCAATAGCCAGAAAGACAAAAAAGGAGCACTTGCACTGGCATTCAATACAGGCAAGAACCTGGGAGGTAAAGAGCTTTCATGAAGGCTACTCCAAATACTTCTCCATGAAAAAGAGGGGACATTTCTGATCAGTATTTATTTGCAGACAAATCTAATTTGTCATCTTTTTTTTTTTTTCCCAGGGATGTCATACAAGTTCCGGGTCAGGGCTCTTAACATCCTGGGCGAGAGTCAGCCAAGTGCAGCTTCTAAACCGTACATGGTCTCTGGATACACAAACCGCATCAATGATCGTCCAGTCACGGGACCTTACATCACCTTCACTGAGGCCATCAACGAGACCACCATAATGCTGAAATGGATGGTGAGATTAGGACGATATATGACAATAATGTGTTTTATTAACCACTTCCAGTCCGGACACTTTCACCCCTCCACTTTTTTCACCCCCTTCCAGTTTTTCCCCCCTTCTTATTTATTCCCATTCGGGCCTTTCAGGGAAATTTTCTTTCTTTTTTCAGGCCCATTTCAGGAACACCCATTTTTTTTAGAGTTCCAGGTTCAACCCCCCTTCCAGTCCCCCCTTTTTTTTTTTTATCGTTTTTATCCAACAACCCCTTTTTATGCTTTTTTCACTGAGTTCCAGAGTTCAACACTTAGAACCCCCCCCCTTTTTTCCTTTCCGGAACACTTTCATTTACCCAGGTCCGGACACTTTCCACCCCTTCCTTTCCCCCCCTTCCTAACGGGCACTTTCACCCCCCATTCCAGTCCGGACACCTTTCACCCCCTTCCAGTCCGTTTTTGTCTCTTTTCACCCCCCTTCCAGTCGGACACGGAACACTTTCACCCCCCTTCCTCCCTTTCTTTTCTTCCAGTTCCACCACACTTTTCCCCCTTCCCCCAGCCGGACAATTTCCAGTCCGGACACTTTCCCCCCCTTTTCCGAACACTTTCCGAACACTTTCACCCCCTTTCCGAACACTTTCCCCCCTTCCAGTCCGGAACTTTCCCCCCCTTTCCACACCCCCCCTTCCAGTCCGGACACTTTCATTCACCCCCTTTCCGGACACTTTCCCCCTTCCAGTCCGGGACACTTTCCCCCCCTTCCAGTCCGGACACTTTCCCCCCTTCCAGTCCGGACACTTTCACCCCCTTCCAGTCCGGACACTTTCCCCCCCTTCCAGTCCGGACACTTTCCCCCCCTTCCAGTCACTTTCCCCCCTTCCAGTCCGGACACACCCCTTCCAGTCCGGACACTTTCCCCCCCTTCCTGTCCGGACACTTTCCCCTCCTTCCTGTCCGGACACTTTCCCCCCCTTCCTGTCCAGGCCAATTTTCAGCTTTCAGCGCTATCACAATTTGAATGACAATTGCGCGGTCATGCAACATTGTACCCATATGAATTTTTTTAGCACTTTTTGAGACAGATAAAACTTTATTTTGGTGGTATTTATTCACCACTGGGATTTTTTTTTTTTTGCTATATAAATGAAAAAGTCCAAAAATTTTGAAAAAAAAGTGTTTTTTTTATACAATTTTGCAAATAAATAATCTTTCTTCATAAATCTTGGCCAAAATTTATTCCGTTATCGTTTTAGTAAAAAAAAAAATAACCAAAATTAGTTTATAACCAAAAATTATAATTTTTAAAAATAGTTTTTTTACATTTTTTATTTTATTTTTTTATATTATTATTTATGTTTTTTTTTGTTATTAACATACTGTCACCCTAGCAGTTCAGTGTCACCATGGTGACACTGTACTACTTGTGGGGGGTGATGAAGATTTTTTTTTTTTTTTTTTTTACACTGATTGCTTGTACACCCATAAAGCCTGTAAAAGCAATCATTTCTCCTTCTCTCTGGCTGCATTCCTGCAGCCATTGAGAAATACTGTGAGAGCTGTGATTGGTCACAGCTTGTCACATGGTACAAGGCTGTTGTGAAATAGCCCTGTACCATGTGATCTCTGTGATCATTTACAGATTTCACACGTAGTAAGCAATGATGTCAGAAGTGACATCTTGCTTACTACTCTGCATGTGTTCCGTTGTGTCCGGAGGACACAGCGGGCACCGGATCGCGGTGTCGCGCGCTCCCAGGGAGCGCGCACAATCCAAAATGGCGGGCGCTGTTTATGAACAGCAACCCGCCCCTGCACTGCCGTTTATATACATGGGCTGGAAGGGAAGTGGTTAAAAGGCCCTTCAGTCTTCTGTCTATGGGAATATGGAGGCTGGAGGCTGCAACTATGTGGGATGTACCAACAAGTACATGTTGTTTTTAGTGACCCCTAGTGGCCCCAGGCTCTAATTACAAGTTCTAATGTTCCTAGCTAACATGCAGTAGCTACACTTAGTGGACCTAACATCAGAGATATTTTTCCTGTACATGCACGCATAGTGAAACTGTTAGGTATCGATGGCCTCTCACATCGATTGCGGTCCCCACTAATCACCATGCAGGGTCAGCATCTGTTTTCTGAACCGAGTGGTTGGCTCAGGGAGGACACATTCATGGAAATCCTGTTGCCTGTGCAGTTTTTGGCTGTGTTCACAAATGTCTTGACACAGATCAGCCCCCTGCTGCAGCCTCTCACTTTGTGACTTACACGCAAACTCCATGCAGACAGCGATGCTGGTGGGATTAGAATTTACGACTCTAGTGCTGCCCACCCAACGTTCTTAAGAGTTTGTAAGAAAGATGATAAATTCTGTATTTTACTGGAGCCCCTCTGTATTTTAACCCCTTGACACCGAGCGGATGCAAATATGCGGCCTCTCGGCGTCTGGGCCTTGACGCCAAGCGACCGCATATTTGCATGCAATTAGCCCTGCGCACTCCCAGCACACATGTCCGGTACTCACGGAAGGGTCCCGATCTCTTTCGATCGGGACCTTTCCCGATTATGTGGCTGCCATGATGGCGTGTCACAGGACCCTAAAACCCCGCCCTGCCTCCCGGCTTCTGAAACCCTTAAAGGACTGGGAGCCGCTGGCGCCAAGGGGTTAAAGACACTTTAATCACCTCCAGACCCTCCCCAACAGTCCTGAGGTTTCACTGACCTTCACTGTAATCAGCCCAGTGGGACCATTTCCCTCAAACTCTACCTACATGATGGTCAGCGGGACTATGCCCCTGGAATCCAGGACTGTTGAGGGAGGTCTGGTATTTAAATAAATGGGAGGGGGGGGTGGTAAAACTGAGATATCTTCATATTTTAAAAAAGCCTTACTCCTGCTTTTAGCTACTTGCTGGACTAAAGTCTGACCAATGAAATGCACTGACTCCCACAGAGAACCATTTATTGTCCTAGGTCAAGCTGCAATACCTTGTTTCACCAGCAGCTGGTTGCCACGGCCAAATTATTGATTTGCAGCAGCACTGTGGGCCCTAGACAAATGGGGATTTCTATTTTCTTCTGAAATTCCTCTTTATCCCACTTTATTGTTTGAGCTTTCATTCTACGTATTTCTCTATTTATTTCACTGTGGTGCCCCCCCCCCCCCCCCGACAATGCAGCCCTGGTTTTCTGCCTGCTATCGATGTATAAAAACGCTTACTTTGGGACTTGCAGATGATTTTTTTTTGTTCTTTTTTTTTTCAGTACGTTCCAGCGAGTAACAACAACACTCCCATTCATGGCTTCTACATCTACTACCGACCGACAGACAGCGACAACGACAGCGATTATAAGAAGGACGTGGTGGAAGGTGAGTGGTGAGGACCACCTGTCCCGTGATCATCCTAGAGGGATTATTGGATCTTTTATTGGCTCTTCATAGCCCAATTTTTAGTACATACAGTGAAGGAAATGCTCCCCGGCTGATCTTGAACGTTCGCCCCTCACACAGAAATGATCGGTCTAACAATGGAATGTTCGCCCCTCACACAGAAATGATCGGTCTAACAATGGAATGTTCGGTGTAACACTGAGAGACAGAATACAACAACAAATTCAGCAGAAATGTGTCTAACAAATGATGACTGATCTGCATGTTCATGAGGGAAAGAAGGATTTGATCCCCTATCATTCAGCAGGATTTCTGGCTACCAGGTGTCTCTCATACAGGGAACAAGCTGAGATTAGAAGCAGTCTCTTAAAGGGAGTGCTGCTAATCTCATTTGTTACCTGTATAGAAGACACCTGTCCACAGGAGCCATCAAACCATCAGATTCCAAACTCTCCACCATGGCAAAGACCAAAGAGCTGTCCAAGGATGTCAGGGACAAGATGGTAGACCTACACAAGGCTGGACTGGGCTACCAAACTATGGCCAAGCAGCTTGGTGAGAAGGTGACAACAGTTGGTGCAATCATTCACAAATGGAAGAAACACAAAACAAGTGTCAGTCTCCCTAGGTCTGGTGCACCATGCAAGATCTCACCTCGTGGAGTGTCAATGATCATGAGAACAGTGAGGAATCATCCCAGAACTACACGTGAGGATCTTGTCAATGATCTCCAGGCAGCTGGGACCACAGTCACCAAGAAAACAATTGGTAACACACTACGCCGACAAGGACTGAAATCCTGCAGTGCCCGCAAGGTCCCTCTGCTCAAGAAAGCCCATGTCCAGGCCCGTCTGAAGTCCGCCACTGAACATCTGAATGATGCAGAGGAGGACTGGTGGGAAGTGTTGTGGTCAGATGAGACCAAAATCCAGCTCTTTGGCATCAACTCAACTCAGCGTGTTTGGAGGAGGAGGAATGCTGCCTATGACCCCAAGAACACCATCCCAACTGTGAAACATGGTGGTGGAAACATTCTGCTTTGGGGGTGTTTTTTTCTGCTAAGGGGACAGGACAACTGCACCGCATCAAAGGGACGATGGACGGGGCAATGTACCATGAAATCTTAGGTGAGAACCTTCTTCCATCAGCCAGAGCATTGAAAATGGGTCGTGGATGGGTGTTCCAGCATGACAATGACCCAAAACACACGGCCAAGGCAACAAAGTAGCAGCTCAAGAAGAAGTACATTAAGGTCCTGGAGTGGCCTAGCCAGTCTCCAGACCTTAATCCGATTGAAAATCTGTGGAGGGAGCTGAAAGTTCGAGTTGCCAAACGTCAGCCACCAAACCTTAATGACTTGGAGAGGATCTACCAAGAGGAGTGGGCCAAAATCCCTCCTGAGATGTGTGCAAACCTGGGGGCCAACTCCAGGAAACGTCTGACCTCTGTGATTGCCAACAAGGGATTTGCCACCAAGTACTAAGTCATGTTTTGTGAAGGGGATCAAATCTTCTTTCCCTCATGAACATGCAGATCAGTCATCATTTGTTAGACGCATTTCTGCTGAATTTGTTGTTGTATTCTGTCTCTCAGTGTTACAATACACCGAACATTTGATTTTAGACCGATCATTTCTTTGTGAGGGGAAACATTCAACATCAGCCGGGGAGCAAATACACATTTCCTTCACTGTGTAAGGCAGCTAAAGGGTTCCTCCACCCAAAAGTATATGTCAGAGGTAGTGGCTTTTGATATGTCTTGGGTGCTCCTTGGAGTTTTGAGTGTTCTACTCAATTTTTGGTGTTTCTACTCAACTTTGCATGTTCCTAACTCAATTTTGGGTGTTTCTACTGAACTTTTCATGTTCCTAACTCAATTTTGGTGTTTCTACTCAACGTTTCATGTTCCCAACTCAATTTTCGGTGTTTCTACTCAATTTTTGGAGTTTCTACTCAACTTTGCATGTTCCTTACTCAATTTTTGTGTGTTTTCTACTCAATTTGGGGTGTTCACATAGAAGACACATTCCCAGGTCCGCTTGTCAAGTGGTCATATGGCCAGTAAAAACATTCTTAGATGTTAACGTGTAGCCAACTAAGGAATGGGCACCCTGTTGTACGTTGACAGTTGCATCATCCCTTCATCCTCCAGGTGACCGGTATTGGCACTCCATCAGTCACCTGCAGCCAGAGACCTCATACGACATCAAGATGCGGTGCTATAATGAAGGAGGGGAGAGCGAATTCAGCAACGTCATGATCTGCGAGACCAAAGGTGAGCCTGGCTTTGCCCAACCTGTGGGATTAATGATCCTATATTTGTTGTAAAATACCCCGGCATGCTGAATATTATATATTTTTTAATGGCCTAAAAAATATGTAAAACGTATCCTTTTCTGATGTTCCCCTCTTTATCTACAGCTCGAAAGTCATCCTCCCAGCCAGGCCGGCCTCCGCAGTCCGTGGTACTGACACCCCCTCCTCCCTCAGGCAGGGGTGGGGCATTGGGTACAGCCACCGTTGCCCGATCCAGCGACTTGCCTTATCTGATAGTTGGAGTGGTCCTAGGATCCATCGTCCTCCTCATTGTGGCATTCACCCCCATTTGCCTGTGGAGGGCGCTGTCCAAGCAGAGTAAGTCTTGGCTCTCAAGCCCAATAAGTTGCTTCTTGGTCATGTAGACCACTGCTGGCCATACACAGAGTGAGTTCTTCTAGCCAGTGGACAATGGCTGGAAGAAGGACAGCAACCTACCATTAACAGGTCCGACTGACCTGCAAACTTTGGTCAATTTTATGCCTAAAATGGATTTGGAGAATTAAATCATTGGAAATCAATCAGAAGTGGCCAAATATTCTGATAGAAAGGGATTGGACTCGGTCGATTGGGGGTTCTTTAGCTTGAGTGGCCGCAGGTTGATAACGGATCATTCATAATGGAGGACCTAGCCAAGTGAAGTATTCATTTAATTATTTTCTGTATTGTCCACTGAGGGCCACAGCTGAGATAGTGAACAGCCTGGGGTATATACTGCCACCTACAGGAGAAATGGACATTAGGCACGGAAAAAAATTAAAGGCCAGCCCCTTTGAGGCGTAACCCCTTCCATCTGCTTAATTTTGCTTAGTGTCCTTAGGAGAATGGATATTTATTAATTATTGCTTTTTGATATCCCCGAGTGTCTTACTATCACAGTTTGTCCCTCAATAGACAATAGGGAATATAGTTCTTTTGTACTCATCATAAAATACTTTTCTCTGTCATCCATTGAGGGACACATCATGGTAGTAAGAAAGGGTCATCGAGAGGCACTAAGGAAGAAAGTTAAATTTTTCCAAGTAAAACCGAGCGGATGGGCGGGGATTGAACCCCTAGGAGGGCTGGACTTTGGTTTTCTATTAGCCTAGTGTCTGTTTCTCCTGTGGGTGGCAGTATAACCATAGGTTGCTTACCCTCAGGTTGTGTCCCTCAATGTACTCCAAGGAAATGATTTCACAGTGAGTACAAAAATTCTGTTTTTCAGTCCAAAATTAAAATTGAAAATGAATGATCGGATTTCCAAAACATTATCTTTAACTTGATAGAACATTTAGTTTAGGTTTTTTTTTTTTTTTACCTGCTCTATATATACTCTGTTGCACTTTTTAGTTTATCTTGGTTTTTTTTTTATTAATATTAAAATTTAATTATTTTATTTTTTTTACTTTACTTTTTTTTCCTATTCAGTTTATTTTTTTTTATTTTTTTTACCTGCTCTACATACTTTACATACACTCTGATGCACTTTATAGTTTATCTTGTTTTTTTTATTGTTATTAAAATTTTATTATTATTATTTTTTTTTTTTTTTTTTACATTTTTAACTTTTTAAACTTTTTTTTCACATTTAGATTATTTATTTATTTATTATTATTTTTTTTTTTTTTACCTGCTCTACATACTTTATATACACTCTGATGCACTTTTTTGCTTACCCGCAGAGCAAACCACAGACATCACATTTCCCAGTTCCGGCATCCTGAACTCTTCCTGCCAGTACACCATGGTTCCACTAAGGGGGGCCCCTGCTGTCAGCACCATTCCCTATTCCAATGGTTCCTTTGTAAACGGAACGTGTCCATCCACCAAACTGATCTATTCTGGAGGGAAGCAGAGAGATTATTGCTCCAAGGCCCTACACCAGGTACCATTCTGTTACTTCCAGTGGCTCACCTACCTGTGCTTTGCTGTACCTGGACCTCTGGGGATCCATCATCATTTATCAGTTTCTTTCACCAACATTTTTTTATGGAGTCAAGCAAATGTTGGGGTACATATATTTTCATGGCGTGTTTAGTGATTGGTCAAGGTTACAATGTAGCAGTTTGATCATTGGGGATGGGAGACTGAGGAAAAGCTTCCTCCTCCTGTCCGCAGCAGACTAGGCAAAGTTTATAGACTTTTGATCAGCCATTCTCGGCCAGAGGTCCATGGACCCGTGGGGTCCTTTCAGAGGTTGCTAGGGGTTCCTTGAGCTTTGGGTAATTAATGGTGCCTATCTAGTTCAGGATCAAATGCCACTTGGCAGAGTGTTTTGATGTCTGTAGCAGTGGTGGTCAAATACCACTGTAAGTGGGGCGTTCTTATGACTGGCCACCAATGTAAGGGGCATTCTTATGACTAGCCATCAATGTTAGGGACTCTCTTATGATTGGCCACTAATATAAGGGGCATTCTTATGACTGGCCACCAATGTATGTGGGGATCCTTATGACTGGCCACCAATGTGAAGGGCATTCTTATGACTGGCCACCCATTCTTATGACTGGCCACCAATGTAAGGGGCATTCTTATGACTGGCCACCAATGTAAGGGGCATTCTTCAACTGGCCACCAATGTAAGGGGCATTCTTATGACTAGCCATCAATGTTAGGGACTCTCTTATGATTGGCCACTAATATAAGGGGCATTCTTATGACTGGCCACCAATGTATGGGGGATCCTTATGACTGGCCACCAATGTTGGCCACCAATTTTGAATTCTTATGACTGGCCACCAATGTAAGGGGCATTCTTATGACTGGCCACCAATGTAAGGGGCATTCTTATGACTGGCCACCAATGTAAGGGGCATTCTTAATGGCCACCAATGTAAGGGGCATTCTTATGACTGGCCACCAATGTAAGGGGCATTCTTATGACTGGCCACCAATGTAAGGGGCATTCTTATGACTGGCCACCAATGTAAGGGGCATTCTTATGACTGGCCACCAATGTAAGGGGCATTCTTATGACTGGCCACCAATGTAAGGGGCATTCTTATGACTGGCCACCAATGTAAGGGGCTTTCGTATGACTGGCCACCAATGTAAGGAGCATTCTTATGACTGGCCACCAATGTAAAGGGCATTCTTATGACTGGCCACCAATGTAAAGGGCATTCTTATGACTGGCCACCAATGTAAGGGGCATTCTTATGACTGGCCACCAATGTAAGGGGCATTCTTATGACTGGCCACCAATGTAAGGGGCATTCTTATGACTGGCCACCAATGTAAGGGGCATTTGTATGACTGACCACCAATGTTAGGGACTCTTATGATTGGCCACCAATGTAAGGGAATCCTTATGACTAGCCACCAATGTGAGGGGGATCCTTATGACTGGCCACCAACATATGGAGCATTTTTCGCACTGACCACCAATGAAATGGTTTTAGCCAGGATTCTCCAAGACTTTACATTTATTTCAGGGGTTCCTCTGGCGAAAAGTTCGGGAAAACCTGCTTTAGATCAAGGACAGCTTCTGAATGATGAAGGTCCTTGTCTGGGGCAATGTTACTCGGAAACTGTGGCAGCGAGAAGAAACGCCCAAAGACAACAGAATACACACAAACTCCATGCAGACAGTGTCCCTATACCATGATCCTGATGCTATATAGCATGGCATGTCAGGAATGTATTGATGCATAGATGAAGTTACTAACAGGTCCACTTTAGACCGTCTTTTCCCTTCAGTAACACGCTCCCACCTTCTATACTTTTGGAAAGTTTTCCGCACTTCTCACAGAAGACAATAAATATCCGATGATTTTATGGGCTGATTGTAAATCTGTGGGCAGGTTAATGTCGGGGATAATGCGATCCGATACAAGAATAGCGTCCTGCCGTGCGTACAAATATTATTCTGAATTCTTCTTGTGTTTGGATGCAGGATGAGGCCAGCACGCTACTCTCAGGAGGTGAAGTCGGACCCCCAGACCCAGCGGACCATCAGCAGCCCCCCGAGTAAGTCTTCTTGATCTCATCTGTGATTCTAATGGGGGTGTCAGGAAAACCAACGACGCATGACACCGACTATGGTGGGAATGTGAAAGAGGCGCAGGATCTCCTATTAATAGTGTCTCATCACTGTCCCTAATTGCTTCAGCGAGGCTGCTTACATGTACCCCCCCCCCCCCCCAAACAAGTCAGGGGGTCTTCAGAGACATGTGAATATGTAGAAAGCTGTAAGAACAGCGCACCAATGACGGCGGTGACAATACATAACGGGGCGTTTATGAACGTATCCTATATCTAAGGGATTGCTCACATGTGTCCGGGAGAGGGGGTAGTAAAAGCAGGCAGCTGAGCCGCAGTTTTTACCACCTCCCCGACCACCTGCCTAAAGGACCTACAATCACTCAAGACTGTACACATGCCGCTGCAAATCCCCCCCCCCCCCTCCCCCGTCCAATCACACTAGGAGGGCATTACTGCTGCCCAACTGATTAATTAATAATACACAATAATAAATTATAATAATTAATTTAAAACATTTTTAAGAATTATTTAAAATTAAATAGGAGTGGAAGATGTGCTAAAGTGCTTTGCTAATGTCACTAATACTTCGAATTTTATGTAATATAATGTGTGTGAGTGTGTGTGCTTTTTATAATAATGTCAATAAATATTAATAATACACAATAATAAATTATTATAATTAATTTAAAACATTTATTAACAATTATTTAAAATTAAATAGGAGTGGAAGACGTGCTAAAATGCTTTGCTAATGTCACTAATACTTCTAATTTTATGTAATGTGTGTGTGTGTGTTTTTTTTAATAATGCCAATAATATTAATAATACACAATAATAAATTATTATAATTAATTTAAAACATTTATTAACAATTATTTAAAATTAAATAGGAGTGGAAGATGTGCTAATGTACATTGCTAATGTCACTAATAATTAAAATGTTATATAATGTGTGTGTGTTTTTATAATAATGTCAATAACGATAATAATACACAATAATAAAATTATTATGATTAATAAAAAATACAATCTATTAATAAATATAATTTAAAATGAAATATGAGTGGAAGATGTACATCGCTAATGTCAATAATATTTGCAATTTCTTTTATATATGTGTATATACTACATATAATATATAAGTTTATATTTGTGTGAGTGTGTATGTAATATATATATATATATATATATATATATATATTAGTAATACACAATAAATTTTTAGAATTAATAAAAAAAAAATACAATTTAATAATAATAAATATGTTTTGAAATGAAATAGGAGTGAAAACTGTACATTGCTAATGATAGGTTTATTCTCATATATAGAGAGATTTATATATATGTGTATCTAGTGATGTCAGCAATAATAAACAACAATAATAATAATAATAATAATAAGTGGATGCCGGGAATAAACTTTCCAGCAGAGGTAGTGAGCCGGTCAACAATAAATAGCTTCAAACATGCTTGGGACAAGCATAGATCTATACTCAAAAAAGTAAAAAAAAAAAAAAAAAAAAAAAGAAAAGAAAACCCACCCCCCAAAAAAAAAAAAAACAGAAAAGAAAACCCATCCCCCAACAAAAAAAAAACAAAAGAAAAAAGAACCCCCCCCCAAAAAAAAACCAAAGAAAAGAAAACCCATCCCCCCCAAAAAAACAAAAAAGACAAAAAAAAAAAAAAAAGAAAACCCACCCCCCAACAAAAAAACAAAAGAAAAAAGAACCCCCCCCCCCAAAAAAAAAAACCCAAAAAAAAAAGAAAACCCACCCCCCAACAAAAAAAAAACACAAAGAAAAAAGAAAAACCCACCCCCCCCAAAAAAAAGAACCCCCCCCCCCCCAAAAAAAAAACAAAACAAAACAAAAAAAAGGAAACACACACACACAAAAAAAACAAACACACACACAAATGGGCAGACTTGATGGACCACTCTGTCTTTTTGTGCCGTCACTTTTCTATATTTCTATGTTAGAACATAACAATTGAATGTAGGATTTGGTCCGTGTGCCATCCGTGTGCCATCCGTGTGCCATCCGTGACCATTCATGACACATCATTCCAGCATACAACATTCAGAGCGCACCGTATTTCTATCACACAGATTTGGATAGCGGACTAACCTGTGCGAATGTTTTTGGATCACGGTTGAGCTCCAGAAGAATCCCCCCCCCCCAGTGTGATGGTAACAATGGGCTGTAGACATTGGCCGTGGCGATGTATGTTTTTCTCCTCCCCCCGATGTAATATTTATATAAGCACAGTGGCTTAGTGGTTAGCACTTCTGCTTGGCAGTACTGGGGTCATTGGTTCGAATCCCAGCCACGGCATCACCTGCCTGGAGTTTGCATGTTCTCCCTGTGCCTGCGTGGGTTTCCCCCGGGTACTCCGGTTTCCTCCCACACTCCAAAGGCAGGCAGGTAGGTTAATTGGATCCTGTCTAAATTGTCCCTAGTATGTGTATGTATGAATGTGAGTTAGGGACCTTAGATTGTACGCTCCTCGGGGCTGGGACTGATGTGAATGTACAATATATATGTAAAGTGCGGAGTACATTGATGGCGCTATATAAGTACCTGAAATAAATAATAAATATTCCTGTGTATTGCAGGCTGTGCCGGACTCAATCTTGCGAGATGACCGTATTGTATGAGGACGAGACAACCCACCCCTACATCGAGGTTCCCCACCCTGAGGACCTCACCCCCGTCCTAGATGGGAGCCGGTTCCCCATTCTCGCTGTGCCCACTGAAAAGCCGCTATGTGCAGGTAGGACACCGAACAAGAAGTGTGATGGGTTTTGGGTGACATTTATATATTTGTATACAGTAATCTATACATTGTATCCATTATTAGTGTGAGATACATTGTATCCATTATTAGTGTGAGATATACATTGTATCCATTATTAGAGTGAGATGTACATTGTATCCATTATTAGTGTGAGATGTACATTGTATCCATTATTAGTGTGAGATGTACATTGTATCCATTATTAGTGTGAGATATACATTGTATCCATTATTAGTGTGAGATATACATTGTATCCATTATTAGAGTGAGATGTACATTGTATCCATTATTAGTGTGAGATGTACATTGTATCCATTATTAGTGTGAGATATACATTGTATCCATTATTAGTGTGAGATGTACATTGTATCCATTATTAGTGTGAGATGTACATTGTATCCATTATTAGTGTGAGATATACATTGTATCCATTATTAGAGTGAGATGTACATTGTATCCATTATTAGTGTGAGATGTACATTGTATCCATTATTAGTGTGAGATGTACATTGTATCCATTATTAGTGTGAGATATACATTGTATCCATTATTAGTGTGAGATATACATTGTATCCATTATTAGAGTGAGATGTACATTGTATCCATTATTAGTGTGAGATGTACATTGTATCCATTATTAGTGTGAGATATACATTGTATCCATTATTAGTGTGAGATGTACATTGTATCCATTATTAGTGTGAGATATACATTGTATCCATTATTAGTGTGAGATATACATTGTATCCATTATTAGTGTGAGATATACATTGTATCCATTATTAGTGTGAGATGTACATTGTATCCATTATTAGTGTGAGATGTACATTGTATCCATTATTAGTGTGAGATGTACATTGTATCCATTATTAGTGTGAGATATACGTTGTATCCATTATTAGTGTGAGATGTACATTGTATCCATTATTAGTGTGAGATGTACATTGTATCCATTATTAGTAGGAGATATACATTGTATCCATTATTAGTGTGAGATATACATTGTATCCATTATTAGTGTGAGATGTACATTGTATCCATTATTAGTAGGAGATGTACATTGTATCCATTATTAGTGTGAGATGTACATTGTATCCATTATTAGTGTGAGATGTACATTGTATCCATTATTAGTAGGAGATGTACATTGTATCCATTATTAGTGTGAGATGTACATTGTATCCATTATTAGTGTGAGATGTACATTGTATCCATTATTAGTAGGAGATATACATTGTATCCATTATTAGTGTGAGATATACATTGTATCCATTATTAGTGTGAGATGTACATTGTATCCATTATTAGTGTGAGATGTACATTGTATCCATTATTAGTAGGAGATGTACATTGTATCCATTATTAGTAGGAGATGTACATTGTATCCATTACACTGTTCAACAGGTAAAAAGTTTTGGGCATAAAATTAGCTAATCTTACATAATTTTTGGGGTGCTGAAAACGAAAATGACCCTAAAAAAATGTTGATTGGCTCTAGTTTCCATGATATATTCACCCATCTAATGACGTAAGCCATTCAAAATTATGATGCAACTTCAGCTGCATATTGCGCAATCGATACTGGTGACCAATAAAATTGCATGTATACTGAGATGATGCAATATTAGCCTTTAATTGCATCACTTCACTGCATAAAAAGCTGCAGTATCTGTAGCTGATTGTAGTTCGACAGCGTCTTTACACTTCGTTTTATGCTTATATAGGCTACTCAGTAATGCCTCGAACTTGTGTGAATAAAGCAGATAATTTCTGCTATATCTGCGGTGAAATAACTTTTATCTCACAAAAAAGGAGGATAACAGGAATGATTAAGAAAGCCTACAACTTGTATTTTGGCTGCAAGATAGGAGACCAGGACAAGAGCTGGGCACCACATATATGCTGCAATTCTTGTGGGACGGCACTGGAGCAATGGTTGAATGGAAAAAAGGCATCTATGCCTTTCGCTGTGCCAATGATTTGGAGAGAGCCAACAGATCATGTTAGTAATTGTTACTTTTGTATGGTGCCTCCAATTGTAAAAGGGCTAAATAAGAAGAAAAAGTTATCTGTGCACTATCCAAATATTCCATCGGCAATACGTCCAGTTCCTCATGGAGAGGGGCTACCAATTCCTAAAGCACCAGAATCCTTCGTGGTTGAGTCAAGTGAGGAAGAACCTGAAGCGTGTAGTCACGGGCAGTTGTAAGAGATAGCCCTTTCCTCGAATACAAGAGAAAAGCCGAGAGAAGCAAAACCGACACAAACTGAAGACAAAACTAGTGAGAATCCTAAGTATTAAAATGATTCAACTTAGCTTATGGCTATAATTTTTCTTGGCAATCCTATGCAATATATTATGCCATTTAGGCTTTGTTATGTAGTCAATATCACTTGCTTTATATTTGTGGAAAGACATCTATCTATATAATTATTGTGCATTATGTAGTCATTACGCCTATAGTAGAAAACTTTCCGTTTACAGAAAAAAACTAGAGCCAATTGACAAATTTCATTGTTATATTTGAACTCAGAATGTGAAATTCATTAAGAAATGGATCCTTTTGTTTCCAAAACTGGCAAAAAATAAAAATTTGTTGAACAGTGTTATTAGTGTGAGATGTACATTGTATCCATTATTAGTGTGAGATGTACATTGTATCCATTATTAGTGTGAGATATACATTGTATCCATTATTAGTGTGATTATGTACATTGTATCCATTATTAGTGGGAGCTTCTCTAACTGGATCTTTATCTCCGCAGGTTCTTCATGTCATCTCCCTCCGGTGGAGTCCATAGACACCAGTGATGGTCCCAATCCTTCTGAGGGCCCCCAACTTCATCAGAACTCCTTGCAGAGCGGAAGTCCGGACACGAGTCCTGGTCACTACACCAGGCCGGCAACCTAATGGACTAAAGGCTGAATATAGAGGACTAAAGACTGAATATAAAGGACTCTCTATGGGGAGACTGTGCTGTGCTGCATAATAATGCTGAGTATTACTGGGCTACACCCCCAGGGTCAGCAGTGGGCCAATGTTCTACACCCCCAGGGTCAGCAATGGGACAATGTTCTACACCCCCAGGGTCAGCAGTGGGACAATGTTCTACACCGTCCCGGGTCAGCAATGGGCCAATATTCTACACCCTGCCGGGTCAGCAATGGGACAATGTTCTACATCCCTAGGGTCAGCAATGGGACAATGTTCTACACCCCAGGTCAGCAGTGGGCCAATGTTCTACACCCTCCCGGGTCAGCAGTGGGCCAATGTTCTACACCCTCCTGGGTCAGCAATGAGCCAATTTTCTACACCCCCAGGGTCAGCGATGGGACAATGTTCTCTACACCCAAAGGGTCAGCAATGGGACAATGTTCTACACCCCCAGGGTAAGCAATGGGTCACTGTTCTACACCCCCAGGGTCAGCAATGGGCCAATGTTCTACACCCCCAGGGTCAGCAATGGGCCAATGTTCTACACCCCCAGGGTCAGCAATGGGCCAATGTTCTACACCCCCAGGGTCAGCAATGGGCCAATGTTCTACACCCCCAGGGTCAGCAATGGGTCAATGTTCTACACCCTCCCGGGTCAGTAATCGGCCAATGTGCTACACCCTCCCAGGTCAGCAATGGGACAATGTTCTACACCCTCCCAGGGTCAGCAATGGGACAATGTTCTACACCCTCCCAGGTCAGCAATGAGACAATGTTCTACACCCTCCCAGGTCAGCAATGGGACAATGTTCTACACCCTCCCAGGTCAGCAATGGGACAATGTTCTACACCCTCCTAGGTCAGCAATGGGACAATGTTCTACCCCCCACAGGGTCAGTATTTTAAACCCTGGGGTCAGCAAAGGGCCAATGTTCTACACCCTCCCAGGTCAGTGATGGGCCAATGTTCCACACCTCCAGGGTCAGCAATGGGCCAATGCTCTACACCCTCCCGGGTCAGCAATGGGACAATATTGTACACCCTCCCGGGTCATCAATGGGCCAATGTTCTACACCCTCCCGGGTCAGCAGTGAGCCAATGTTCTACACCTCTAGGGTAAGCAATGGTCCAATGTTCTACACCCCCAGGGTCAGCAGTGGGCCAGTGTTCTACCCCCCCTTCCCCCGTATCAGCAATAAGCCAATATTTTAATCCCTAGGGTCATCGACGGGCCAATGTTCTACACCTCCATGTTCAGCATTGGGCCAGTATACCCCACGGGGTCAGTGATGGGCAAATATTTTAACCCCTAAGGTCCAATTCTCACAGAACAAATAAAGTACAGGCAGGTTTGCTGGATTAATGTGATTTTTTTTTTTCATTTTTTTTTTTTTTTTATAAACTAGACCCTTAGGTCTGTCTGTTCCCACTTTGCCCCCTCAGCAGTATTTTGTCTCGCAGCACTTTTGGCCCTTTTTTTTTTTTTTTTTGTTGCTAAGAAGAGAAAGAAAGGTTTATTTTTATACAATAGATATATTTATATATTTATGCACTTGTACATAGATTATTTTCTTTATCAAGAAAGTTTTTGTACGGTTTGAACCGAGGGACCAGTATATTCACCCCACCAGATAATGCTAATGTTCCGCTCGCCGGCCCGTAAACGCACAGAATAGCTTCCGCTGACACGTGTGCTGCGCAGCGAGGATACGCTGCCCCCCCCCCCCCAACGCGTTTCACCGACAGCGCTTCCGAAGAAGAGAGCAGTCTCAGGCTGGGACTCTCTCCTCCGCGAACCTGCTACATTCCTTCCCGCCACGCCCACTCCTAGTCAATGGACGCACATTGCACGTGCCGCGACGAATGTACATACGCACTATGTATACGCCTTCATGCAATACGAGACATTGGCTGCTTCCAGTATATGTGTAACAAAAAGAAAATAAACATCTTTAAAGAAAGTGACTGTGTGCTTTTTTCTTTTTTTTTTATTAACCATTTCAATACCGGCACTTTTACCCCTTCCTGCCCAGGCCATTTTTCAGGTTTCAGCGCTCTCACACTTTGAATGACAATTGCGCGGTCATACAACATTGTACCCAAACTAAAATTTTATCATTTTCTTCACACAACTAGAGCTTTCTTTGTGGGTATTTAGTCACCGCCGGGTTTTTATTTTTTGCTAAATTAACAAAAAAAGACCAAAAAGTTTGAAAAAAAAAAACCCACGTTTTTTTCTTTGTTTCTGTTATAAAAGTTTACAAATAAATAATTGTTCTTCATAAATTTAGGCCGAGATGTATTCTGCTACATGTCTTTGGTGAAAATAACCCAAATTAGGATGTATTATTTAGTTTGTAGGAAAGTTATAGAGTTCACAAACTATGGGATAGATCTGAATATTGATCAATCCTGAAGTACTGACAGCCAATCTAATTTCTTAAGGTCCAAGAATGTCAGAACAGTACAGATATCCCCCAAATGTCAGGACAGTACAGATATCCCCCAAATGTCAGAACAATACAGATATCCCCAAATGTCAGAACAGTAGAGATATCCCCCAAATGTCAGAACGGACAGATATCCCCCAAATGTCAGGACGGTACAGATATCCCCCAAATGTCAGGACGGTACAGATATCCCCCCAAATGTCAGGACGGTACAGATATCCCCCAAATGTCAGGACGGTACAGATATCCCCCAAATGTCAGGACGGTACAGATATCCCCCAAATGTCAGGACGGTACAGATATCCCCCAAATGTCAGGACGGTACAGATATCCCCCAAATGTCAGGACGGTACAGATATCCCCCAAATGTCAGGACGGTACAGATCTTCCCCCAAATGTCAGGACGGTACAGATATCCCCAAATGTCAGGACGGTACAGATATCCCCCAAATGTCAGGACGGTACAGATATCCCCCAAATGTCAGGACGGTACAGATATCCCCCAAATGTCAGGACGGTACAGATATCCCCCAAATGTCAGGACGGTACAGATATCCCCCAAATGTCAGGAAAGGACAGATATCCCCCAAATGTCAGGACAGTACAGATATCCCCCAAATGTCAGGAAAGGACAGATATCCCCCAAATGTCAGGACAGTACAGATATCCCCCCAAATGTCAGGACAGTACAGATATCCCCCAAATGTCAGGACAGTACAGATATCCCCCAAATGTCAGGACAGTACAGATATCCCCCAAATGTCAGGACGGACAGATATCCCCCAAATGTCAGGACAGTACAGATATCCCCCAAATGACCCCTTTTTGCAGAGTAGACAGTCCGACGTACTTCATAAGAGGCATAGCGAGTTTTTTGAAGTTGTATTTTTTTGTCATTTTTCGGAAAATGAAAAAATTAAAAAAATTATTTTCACTATTTTTTTTTTTACATACTGTCACCAGTGCAGTACAGCGTCATCATATAACTGGCATGGCAGTGAACAGGGACACTGACTGGTGACAGTATGAAAAAAAATTATATATATATATATTTTTTTTTTTTTATGATTTTTAATTTTTTATTAATTTTTTTAAATTTTTTTAAAAATTTTTTTCATATTTCACTATGTCCAAAGTAGTACAATGTTACCATAGTAATACTGTACTACATTGGGGAAGTGATCAGTATTTTTTTTTTTTTTTTTTTTACACAATTTGCTTATAGCAAAGAATTACTTTGCTATAAGCAAGCATTTACCTGAATGAAATCAATTCATTCAGGTTTTTTTTTTTTTTTTTTTGTGCTTAGCTGTGATTTGGCGACAGCTAATCACATGACATGTGCATGTGATCGCTGTGACCATTCACAGCTAGGCACTAGTATACAATGGATGGCATGAATGAAGCCATCCATTGTATACAACTGTCATGTGACCTGCTGTGATTGGTCACAGCAGGTCACATGGTACCGGCAACGGTACTCAGATCTGTCATCGGCCGTGTCCGAGGTACATGGCCGGTGACAGATTGCGCCGCTGCGCGGCTCTGCAACCGCGCAAACTGCGCATGTGCGGGAGGACGCCAAATGGCGTGCACCCAGAAAGCTGGAGCATTTTTGCGGCCGCCAAATGGCTATAGGCCGGGCAGCTAATGGTTAATTATAATTATTATTATACAGGATTTATATAGCGCCAACAGTTTACGCAGCGCTGTACAACATAAGGACAGACAAATTACAATACAATTAATTACAGGAGGATGCAGAGGGCCCTGCTCAATAGAACTTACAATCTTTTTTTTTTTTTTTTTTTTTTTTTTTACTTGTACAAAAATATTAGCTTGATGTTATAAAATGACAAAAAAGAAAAATAAAATACAAAAAGTTAAAAACTATTTTTACCGTTTTTTCCCCCTTTTTTTGTACAAAAACATTAGCTTGATGTTTAAATTCCAAAAATAAAAATACAAAAAGTGAAAAAAAAAATTTACCATGTTTTTTTTCTTTTTTTTTTGTACAAAAATATTAGTTTGATGTTATAAATTACAAAAATAAAAAATACAAATACAAAAATTAAAAAAAAAATAATAGTACAAAAAATGAAAAATACAAAGTATACAAATAAATAAAAGCTACAGTATAGCATATTTTAAAGTGGACCCAGCAAGTTTACATGAATGAATTGCGAGTCGCAGTAGATAGTAACAAAATCATTTTCCTGAAAGCATCCATTATTGAGAAGCCATCAAACTCCAGTCCAGTGACTTTGCCTAGGCTGAAGTGGTGTCAGGTGAGGTACTGCACAGCCACCAGGCTCTACATAATGGTGTCATCTACTACCCGGGATCTCAGCCCAGGAAGAAGATGGTGACCCTGGATGAGGCCTGAACAAAGATGGCGCCGTCCCTCTGCAGATGAAGGTATTAATCTTTCATGGACACAGTGGGTGTACAGACTTGGGAACTCAGCACAGGGATGGTGGGAACCCCTCATAATGGGCACAGCGGGCGTACGGACCCGGGAACTCGGCACAGGGATGGTGGGAACCCCTCATAATGGGCACAGCGGGCGTACGGACCCGGGAACTCGGCACAGGGATGGTGGGAACCCCTCATAATGGGCACAGCGGGCGTACGGACCCGGGAACTCGGCACAGGGACGGTGGGAACCCCTCATAATGGGCACAGCGGGCGTACGGACCCGGGAACTCGGCACAGGGACGGTGGGAACCCCTCATAATGGGCACAGCGGGCGTACGGACCCGGGAACTCGGCACAGGGATGGTGGGAACCCCTCATAATGGGCACAGCGGGCGTACGGACCCGGGAACTCGGCACAGGGACGGTGGGAACCCCTCATAATGGGCACAGTGGATGTACAGACCCGGGAACTCAGCACAAGGATGGTTATGTGTATGGCTACCATAAGAGTCAATCAACAGGGGGCAGCACATTCAGCAGAGCTCAAACTGCAGTTTTATTGTCCAGTCAGCAGAGGGCGGTGTGGTGACAACACTGTATTCCTTACCTGCGTGGCCCCCCTGACTGCATTGTCTGGCAGAGGTCTGTGAAGCATGAAAAATCATTGGACAGAATGACAAATCCTTTGGCAGAGGGGACAGGTCACCCGGGTGTATCTCAGCCACGGATTTCTTGGTTTTCCCCCAAAATTCTGGAAGAAGAATTCCAGTCTGCTATTATATTTTATATGAAAAGTCTTGCGGTTGCAACAATGTATCTATTTGTATCCAAATAAAAACATCTGTATCCGAAATGGGTACAAATGGATACATTGTTGCAACTGCAAGACTTTTCATGTCAAATATAATAGCGGATTGGAATTCTTCTTCTTATGTGTACTCCCCTATCTCTGTAAGGGACAGAAGTAATTATGGAGTTAATGCCGGCCGTAGATGGGACGAAAATCGGCCGATTTTTTTACCGTTGGTGGTAACGTTGGACGATCGAACGAGACCGATTGTTAATTGTTTTGTTTTTAAAAAACAGCCGATTTTCGACCAGTCTATGGTCTGCATGAATGTCCCTAAAACCAGGAACTGTGTAAGCGGCCAGCGGCGTGATTGGTGAGGCACAACATCCACTCACATCGATCGATGTATACATTCAGGACGAATAAAATCTCTGTATGTCCCACGCTCAGCGCTGTCAGCCGCCGCCTGCTCCGTATCATTTTATTTTATGGCTCTTCAGACTGGGGCCCCCCTCCAGGCCCTGCATCGACTGCAAGCAAAACAGCCTCCTGAATGGTGCGCTTCTTGCGTTGTGAGCGAGGCCTGTGTGCACAAATCCCTCTGACGGGGGAGCGGGAAGGTGCCGTACTTACTTTGGCAGAGACGCGCATTTCTGCTCAGGATTTTGGCATTCGAAAAGGGACCTTTAAAGCAGAAAAAAAAAGCGAGGCTGCGTGCGGCATGAGGAAGATTTATTAATTCGCCGCCGGCCAACGGATTGACTTAAAGGAACAGTCCACCTTTTGGGAAAAAAAAAAAGGAGCAAATGCAGCAAGAAGGATGTCCCGAGCAGGGGCGGACTGACAACTCATGGGGCCCCTGGGCAATAGGGGATCATGGGGCCCGTGTCCTTGCCCAAACTCAAAAAAGCCTATGAAAAAGGTACCAGGGGCATCTCATGGGGCCCCCTACTGACCCCGGGGCCCTCGGGCAGTGCCCGAGTTTCCAAATGGTCAGTCCATCAGTGGTCCCAAGCAATGTGCTAATCTGCGATCTCCGGGGCAGCGGTGGCTCTACGGAGATTGAAGAAGCCACCATAGATGGTCCAGGATCTGCTCATCCTCCTCTACATCCACACGTAGGACCTCGGCCTCTCCATCTGGGCCTGCCTGACATTGAGATTGCCTAAAGTTGTTGGCAACTATGGAAAGGGGGCAGATTTAGCATCACATGGACCCCGAAATAGAGAAAGGCCTGGAGTGCCACCTAGTGGCTATTGATCAGCCAGTTCCTGTGCCATGGAGCCTACTGATGATTGGACACGAGAGGTGTCCACCATTCTTCCAGACACCGCTCAAAACAATGAAAGGAACAATAAAAACCCATCAGATCTCAATGTGGAGGAATCTCCTGGTGGATCTTTGTACTGACATGGACGGGGGATGTGTTAGGAACATAAGGATGCCCCACCATTTGATGGAAATGAAAACGATCGACCTACAGAGGACTGAATTCAGAGACACCCCGAAAATCAAAGTGAAGAAATGATGCAGCAAGCGAGTCCATTTGGCTGAAATGTCATTGCAGCAACTCAGAATGGTCTTCAGTAGTCTGTGTGGCCCCCACGTGTGCCTGTATGCATGCCTGACAACGTCGGGGGAGGCTCCTAATGAGACCACGGATGGTGTCCTGTGGGATTTTCCTCCCAGATCTGGACCAGGGCATCACTGAGCTCCTGGACAGTCTGAGGTGCAACCTGGTGGCATCGGATGGACCGAAACATGACATCCCAGAGGTGTTCTATTGGATTAAGATCAGGAGAGCGTGGGGGCCATTCAATGGTATCAATTCCTTCATCCTCCAAGAACTGCCTGCATACTCTCTCCACATGAGGCCGGGCATTGTCATGCACCAGGAGGAACCCAGGACCCACTGCACCAGTGTAGGGTCTGACAATGGGTCCAAGGATTTCATCCCGATACCTAATGGCAGTCAGGGTGCCATTGTCTGGCCTGTAGAGGTCTGTGCGTCCCTCCATGGATATGCCTCCCCAGACCATCACTGACTCA